AAAAAAAAAAAATGTACAGCCTCAGAAACCCTGTACAGCGTTGCTATGAGTCAGAACCGACTCCACGGCACATAACAACAAAAACTTCCACATATAAGGTGATAATTCCTCCACCCATGCTCATTCATGATGACATAGAAAATATTTATTGAGCCTCTATGTGCCAAACACTGGATATCCTATATCTCTTAATTATTGTTATAGCCCCCCAAAATAGGTTCCTTTTATAGATGAGGGAACTGCAGCTCAGAGAGAGGAGAGGTGATTTGCCCCAGGACACTCAACCAGGTAGAGACAGAATCAAGATCCAAACCCAAATTGCTTAATTCCCAGACCCAGGGGTTCTCTTCTTAACTCACACTGAGAGTCAACAGTATAAGCTCAAGGCAGAAGAGTGTCCCCATGACCCAATATCCAGTGTAGTTTCCTAATGTGCGAAGTTGCTAGTATCCTGGCCTTGGGGGAAATTAAGGAAAAGCCCTTTGTGGACAGGAACCTCATCTCAGACAATGGTGTGTGGATGCACAGTGTCTTACCTATCTTAGACACAGAGTGTGCCGGGATGTGCCCGGGGGATGACATGTTTGCCAAGTGAAAAGACAAATCCAATTAGTGGCAAGAGCGTCTCACTGTGAGCAGCAAGGCTAACCGCAGGAGCATCGGGATTCATTATTAGCCAGTGATTAGAAGGAAAAGATTTTCAAACAAATTATGTACTCAAAAATGCAGTTAGGAGGTGGCCTGTCTAATTCCACAGCCAACACCAAGCTTTGGACCGCAGGCTAATAAATTAACTGTGAAAGGAACCCGTTTGTTTTTTGGGTTTTTTTTTTGCCCCACTTCATGTCTTCCCAGGTCTGTTCTATGATCACTTGTTGCTTCTAAAGAATTATTTACTAATGTAAAAGCAGGTGAACTCAGGGAGCAATAATTTGCTTGGTTAATTAAAATCTCAGATTATTAACAGTCAACCAGCTGTTGGCAAGTCAATTGCAACACATAGGGATCCCCATGTGTGTCCGAGTCATACTCTTTCCATAGGGGTTTTCACGGCTGATTTTCCAGATGTAGATCCCAGGTGCCTCTGGGTGGACTGATACTTCCAACCTTTTGGTTAGTAATCAAGTACTTAATGGTCAGCACCACCCAGGGACTCAAGAACTTGCCACTCCTCATTTTTGCAGGAAAGATTTTCTATCAGAGAGACAGTGTGTGCTGAGGTGTAAGCATGTGTGAACACACAAGGCATTTTCTGTCTCTAGGTTTCAAGAGTGAATGGAAAGTAGTCTAGTCATAGAAGTCGAGAATGGGAAATTGTAGACAAGGATTTAGGCAGACCCTGAGATGCTAAGGGAGTTTGTACAGGGGAAGAAGCCTGAACGCTTCACCTTTTACTAGTCCACCAATTTAATTTTGTTGTGTTCCAGTGACACTCGAAATGTTGTGCAACACTGTTGTTAACGTTGAAAGAAATATGAGAGGGTTTCATAAAGTTCATGGAAAATGGACTGAAAAGAGAATGGAATTTTCCACACACTTTTTGAATCCCTCTTTTACATGCAAAGTGCTTGCACTAAATATTAAACCCCAAATCAAACTCACTGCCGCTGAGGTGATTCTGACTCATCGTGACCTTATGGAGGGTTTCCGAGACTGTCAGTCTTTCTCCTGAGGAGCAACTGGTGGGCTCAAACTGCCAATTTTGTGGCTAAGAGCCCAGTGCCTAACCCACAGCACCACCAGGGCTCCTTGTACAAAGTAGGTACTCAGTAAATGCTGGGTGGGCCGATTGTCATAGCTTTAGGACTATAATTTATATAATTCCCTTCTCTCAAGAATACCAACTGCCAGATGGGTTTAGTTCTTAGCAAGATTTAAGTGGCTATCTGAATAAATCCTAATCCCAGTTTTCTTGACACCCAAGTGTAAAGATCAATCAAATCAGTTTATGATCCATTCTGTTCCCCTGTGTTGCACTTCTGTTCTGACACCAGCTGTACGTGTAGCACCTCCTTCTCTGACCCCAACCACCTGATGCTGGGTCAGAGCTCACAGGGGTGGGGCATCTGTTATTCTGCCATGATTTATAACATCATTAAAAATTAGCCTGCTATATTTGATTAAGCATTTAATAAACTCACCCTAATGTGATGGCTGAAGTCCTGGAGTGGCACTGTGGGATAAAACACTGGACCACAAGGTTGGTTTGAACCACAAGATTGGTAGTTCAAACTCACCAGCTGCATCTAGGAAACCCTATACAGAGTTGCTATGAGTCAGAACAGACTTGACAGCACTTCAAAGCAACAAAAAAGTGATGGCTGCAGTTGCCTTGGCAGAGCCAGACTAAATGATTCCCCGGGACTTAGATGGTCCGTGGGCCAGATGTTCCCCACCCCTGGCCTAAGACCCCAGACTCCAGCACCAGCTTGGAGTTCTCACTCTACCTTCACTTCTAACCTGCTGATTACAAACTTGAGGTCTCCCCACTATCCCTTTGGGATGCCAGCTTGTAAACTTGGGGGTCCCCCGTGTCCTCCCTCCCACCCCATTTCTGACCTGCAGGCTCCCTTGATTCCTCCGGTTTCATAGTTCTCTACAATGATTCACAGAACACATGGGTTACAGTTTTATTATAGCAAAATGGATGTGGATGAAGAGACACACCGGGCCAGGTCTGGGGGCTCCCAAAGTGGAATTTTCACATCCCACAGGATGTGTTTCCCTCCACTTACATCGATGTCTTTCACCAGCCAGGAAGCTCACAGAGGGTCTGAGTTCATGTGTCTATAAGTCTATGTGTCACGTGGTTGTCTTTGTGGCCTGGCCAGCCCTGTCCTAAATCACCTTATTAGCATGAACCTCAGATGTGGTCTGGAGACCTCATCAAAGACGCTTGAATCCCTGGGAAAAGTCCAAGGATAGAGAGGTTGTATCTCAGGAATCCAGGACAAAGACCAACTTCTTTGGGCACAGTTCTGTAAACCCTACAGTTGTGAGCATAAGAAAAAATCTTTAGGTACAAGTTCAGATTCTTTTGGGTTGTTGATGTTGTTAAATGGCATCAAGTGGGTTCCTACTCACAGCGATCCTGTATAGGGTTTCCAAGTAGCGGCTGGTGAGTTTGAACCGCTGACCCGAAGGGGGCCTTGTATCACTATCTGTGCTGCCTTTGGCCTGAGTCAGGTGTAGACAGGAGCTGGGGTGGGAAGGGATGGAGATCTGAGATCTCTTTCTATCCCTCTCCTCTATCCCTGCCTCCTGGCAGAGTCTCAGAGTTCTGAATGCAGCATCATCTAATCCGATTAGTGTGGCAAGCAGTTTCCTTCTATAATTGCACTGGATACAGTTTTGTCTGTTTTTGGCTGCTAAGAGCATATTCAAAGCAAATTAAGCGTGAATGGCAGGACACACGAATGCTTTTATTCTGTTGGATCACAACTACCATATGGGCAAGGGAGAGAGGGCTCACCTGGCTTCTCCTCTTAATGACGCTGTTTTGTTTCCTAGCACTGCATGTTTACAGCCATTCATAAGCATTACTCCCTGGATGACTGGAAGCTTTTTGCCAAGAAGCACCCAGAATGCCTGAAGGTATGACTATAGCCTGGTTACAAATTGCAAATGGTTCCAGGGGTAGAGGGGCCCCAAGTTTATCAAAGGGTTTAAATTGGCAGGAGATAAACACACACAGTTCTAAAAGGGACCAGCAGGGAAGAAATATTGGGCCCCAGTTCTATACCACTATAGCTGATAAAACCCATCCTATATAAAAACTCACTGGCAGTGAGTCGACTGTGACTCATAGCAACACTGTAGGACTGAGGAGAACTGCTTCCTAGGGTTTCCGAAACCATAAACAGGAGTAGACAGCCTCATCTTTCTCCTGTAGAGGGGTTAGTGGGTTCGAATCACAGCCCTTTTGGTTAGAAGCCCAATGCTTACCCAGGACTCCTATATTCTGTATGTTGTTGTTGCTAAGTGCTGGTGAGTCAGTTCTGACTCACAGGGACCCTGGATAGGGTATCTAAGGAGTGACTGGTAAGCTTGGACCTCCAACCTTGCGGTTCAAACTGATCTTGAGGTCCAGCGCATTAACCCACAGCACCACACCAAAATATACCTACTAAAATGGCTATAATCATGAGGACAGATAATAACAAATACTGAGGATGTGGAGACATTGGAACCCTCAGACATTGTTGGTGGGATTGTAAAATGGAGCAGCTGCTTCAGACAGTACTCTGGTAGTTCCTCAAAAGATTAATATCAGAGCGTGTTGAATATAACTCAGTAATTCCTAGGTATATATTCAAGAGAAATGAAACTGTAAGCCCATGCAAAACCTTGTACACTGGTGTTCATTGCCGCATTAGTCACAATAGTCACATGTGGAAACCACTCAAGTGTCCATGAATGAATAAAGGAAGAGGTAAAATGTGGTGTGCTCTTACTATAGGTTATTATGTTGTCACAGAAAGGAATGGAGTCATGATACATGCTCTGACATGGAGGAATCTTAGAAACATTGTGCTGCATGAAGGAAGCTAGACATAATTCCATTTAAGTGAAATATCTAGAGCAGACAAATCCATGGAGACAGTTGATAACTGGATGTCAGAGGTTGGGGGTAGGCATGAGGACTGACTGATGAAGGATATGGGATGATGAAAATGTTCTGAAATAGACCGTGGTGATGGATACACAACTCTGAATTCACTCAAGACCATTGAAGTTGGCACTTCAGATGGATTAATTGCATGTTGTTGTTAAGTGCCGTCGAGTCGGTTCCGACCCATAGTGACCCTGTATAAGGTTTCTGAGGAGCAGCTGCTGAGCTTGAGTGGCCAACCTTGTGTTTCAAAGTGACTTTGTAGTCCAGCGTATTAGCCCATAGGGCCATACCAGGAATCTGGATTAATTGTGTAGCATGTTAAATATTTATATTATATAATTATATGAATTGATAGCCTGTTAGGGAGTCCTGGTGTGGCACTGCGGGTTAATGCACCAGACTGCAAAGCCATTTGAACTGCAAGGTTGGTGGTTCAAGCTCACCAGCTGCTCTTCGGAAACCCTATATAGGGTCACTATGGGTTGGAACCAACTAGAAGGCACTTAACAACAATATAGAATGTTAATTAGTTAAAAACAAACAAACAAAAAGAACTGGACAGTTTTAACAACACCAAATCCCGATACAGCTTGCCTGACTTGGCTCTCTGCATATTCCAGTGGTTTTTGAGCCAGTACCAGCAGAGAAGTTTCTCTGCATGACACACATGCTTTTCCAGGCTCCTTAAGTGCCTAGAGACATCCACTTTGCAAGCAAGTCTCTTGCCCAAAGGCACTCAGCTTTACTTGCTCCATAGGCTAGGAAGCCTAACCCACTGGATGAAAAATGTTGTTTGGTGCGAGTTACAAAGACTATGGGTAGAAGAATCCTTTAAAGCAACTCACTGCACTGCCAATCCACCAGCCATCCCACGGAAGAAGATACAGTAGTTTGCTTCTATAAAGTTTTATAACTTGGAAATCCTATGGGGCAGTTCTACTGTGTCCTAGAGGGCTGCATGAGTTGGAATGACCTGATGTTGACTGTATGGGTTTGGTAATTCCTAAAAATCACAGAAATGTAGCTATAAACGTGATGCATGCACACTTCAATTTTCTCGGTGTAGTCAATCTTTCCAGAACTCTGGGTGGTGCAGTGGGTTAAGCAAGAGCTGCTAACCAAAAGGCCGGTGGTTAGAACCCACCGTCTGCTCCACAAAGGAAGGATGATGAGGCTGTCTGCTCAAGATTTAGTCTTGGAAACTCTATAGAGCAGTTCTACTGTGTCCTGTAGGGCTGCTATCAATTGGTATTGACTTGAAGGAAGTGGGCTTGCTTTGGTTCTGGTTTATCCTTTCCCGATTATTAGTAGTCTTCCCCCCAAAATCAAACTCAGCCCCACTGCTACCGAGTCAGTTCTGACTCCTAGCAACCCTATGGAGGGTGTCCCAGACGATAAATCTTTACAGGAGCTGACAGCCTCATTTTTTTGTTTTCCTGTTCATCTCTGTTAAAATTTAGTGGAACTCCAGATTGCTAAGCTGCTCGCAACGCCACTGAGAGAGTTTTATGATTTCCCGTTATAATTAGTCTCTCATTTGTGGAGAAAGGGAATAATGAAGGCTAAGAGTCCAATTAACAATGCATTACCAAAGTTTCCCTTTAAGAAAACGAAGGTATAACAACAATCATTATTCCTCAAATTTCTCTAAGCTTATGGGGAAGAAGAAAAGAGGGTGAAGATATCTATCAGTCATCTGAACACAATAGGGCAAAGACAAATGAAAGTTTTACTATTATCCCAGAATTATTTTATCTCCAAAACTACCTTTTCATGAATCAAAATTCACACACAATTAAAGCATGGTAACAACAAACAATGTTCAAGTGTAGGCTTGAAAGCAGTATGGTATAAAGTTGTTCTACAATCACAACAACAACACTTAGGAGGGTGTGTTGATTTAAATGTAAAATACATACAGTACAATTTAAGATCATTTTAGATTTGATTTGCCTTATGCATTGGGAAATTTTCTGTCTTTAACTAAACAGAGGACTTCTGGTGTGGCATAGTAGGTTAAGTGCAGGACTGCAAGGTCAGTTTGAACAGCAAGGTCAGCAGTTCAAACTCACCAGCCGCTCTGCAGAAACCCTATCGGGGTTGCTATGAGTCAGAACCCACTCAACAGCACTTAACAACAACAAAAGTGAAACAGAGAATTAGAGGTCTTTGTATAAGCTGTTCTATTGGAAGTAAAAATGAAAATAAGAAAGCGTTTTCTCAGGAGTTTTAGACATCTCCTTCCAGTCCTCAAACAAGGCGCTCAGGATGAACACCATAGCTTTAGGGTGAAGAAGTTCATTGGCCTTAATCTTATTCATCCTGTTTCTGTTCTTCCCATATTTCCTGTTAACCTTCCTTGAATCTAATTGGTTTGACACACTAAAAGCTCCCTGTGTGTAAGGACTGCCACCAACTATCCCTCTCACAGCTCGCTTGTCTTCTCATTTAGGTTTTATAATTAATTGCAATGGCCACATAGAATTCAAGTTATAGGCTTATATGTAGTTGTTACAAAGTGGTCTGCTAACCTCAAGGTCAGCAGTTGAACACTATCAGCTGTTCTGTGGAAGAAAGATGAGGTGTTCTGCTCCCGTAAAGATTTACAACCTCAGAAACCCTGTACAGGGTCGCTATGAGTCGGAACCAACTCCACGGCACATCACCACCACCTCCGCCACCAGGGAAGCTAAAAGGTTACAATGCAGGGTCAAAAAATGTTCAGGACACCCTCTCTTCTGTGTCATTTGACCCTCAGCCTGGCCTCTGCACTGCTCAGCAATGTTACAAAGCTCTTTTAGGGTTGTCCTGGTGTGGCACTGTGGGCTCATGCATCAGACTTCAAAGTCGTTTGAACTGCAAGGTTGGTGGTTCAAGCTCACCAGCTGCTCCTTGGAAACCCTACACAGGGTCTCAATGGGTCGGAATTGACTCGACAGCACTTAACAACACCACCAAATAAATGCCAAAGGAGTCCTGGTATGGCATTGTGGGTGAATGTGCTAGACTGCAAGGTAGGTTTGAACCACAATGTTGGTGCACCTTGAAACCCTCCATAGGGTCTCTATGAGTCAAAACCTACTCGATGGCACTTAACAACAATAAATGCCAAAAGGACACTCCACTCTATCACATACCTCAGCCAAAAGGTACTCAGCTGTAGTTCCTTGGGTCAGCACAACTAGCTCCCAGTTAAGTGCCTGGAAGCACCTCACTCTGCAATGAGCCTTTTGCCCAAGACACTCAGCTTAATTTGCTCCATGGACCGAGAAGGCCATCACTTTTAGATGCTCAGGGTCTTGGTTCTGCTACTGCTGCTCCAGTGTTGCAGCTTCCTGTCCCTGTGCCAAGGAGGGTCAATGCACAAGGACCTCTGGGGTCCAAGGACACAGTCCACTTCTGGCTCTTCTTCCTTGATGGTAGTGCCATCCCCCTTCCTGCTTCTGAGATGTTGTTGTTGTTATGTGCCGTGGAGTCTGTTCTGACTCATAGCGACCCTGTACAAGGTTTCCAAGGCTTAAATCTTTATGGGAGTAGAAAGCCTCATCTTTCTCCTGCAGAACAGCTGGTAGTTTCAAACTGCTGACCATGAGATTAGCAGCCCGATTCATAACCACTATGCTACCAGAGTTTTTTAAACCCAACCAAAATTGACCAATCCTGTCATTAGAATGCCAAGTTTTTACAATCACTATTAGCTCTGTTAACAGTCATTCTCTACTGAATCATATCTTATCAGCATCTTCAACTGCTGTCTCTTATCCAAACCCATCAGGAGAAGAGGCTTTTTGTGGGAGTTACAAAGACTAAGTTTAGAAGAGACATATAGTATAATTCACTACACCACACCATGTCAGAATTGCACCTAGAGAGTTTGAGAAAATTAAAAGCCTAGGACCAGGTTTCCAGCGTATTAAAGAATATGTTTACAGGAATGATTCTGTGGCTAAGCTCCAGGTATAAGGATATATGCAGTTTAATGATGAAGAATATGACAGAATCTAAGTTTAGATTTAGCGAGTGAGTCTCTGTTGCCTTGACTGTTGTATGTTTTTTGAGCAGATCTACTGTGTGTGTGATCAGGATGAACATCAAAGCTTTATTGTATTGCACCCAGGATAGGTGAAGAGTTGGTTCTGACTTCTGAACATTATCACTGATGTCTGTCCGTCTCTGTTTATTTTGGTACAGCATGTTGCAGTGAGTTCGGGCAGCGGGCAGAATGATTTGGAAAAGATGAGCAATGTCCTGGAAGCTGTGCCTCAGGTCAAGTTCATTTGCCTAGATGTGGCCAATGGGTATTCGGAACATTTTGTGGAGTTTGTGAAACTTGTCCGAGCCAAATTTCCAGAACATACCATCATGGTAGGTATAGTGGGACAGACTCCATGTGGGGAAGACCTGAGGGAATTTTCAGTGCTTTGGGGGTGAGCTATAGTCTCTTCAGAGCTTCTGGTGCCTTCTTATTGAAGACTAGCTAAGCCAATAAGGGAAAGGACAACAACTGTGTAAGATTGGGTAACTCATTCTCTATAAAAAAAATGAAAATCTGAATCACAGGGTGTTGGCACCTTATTGTTGTTAAATATGATGAAATGTTTTATCACGTGACTCTGTATCACTTCTCTTAACAAAAGGTGATTTTTAAAATTGAAAATATATAACTGAGTTTCAGTTTTACCTTTATTTCTTTGTTTATTTTTTGCTACACAAGACCTCTTTTTTATTTTATTCATTTTTTTTTTTTTTTAGTAAAATTCACTAGGAAAGTCATCTGTGTTTGGACTTTATTTTAGTTGGGAATTTTTTTTTTTTTTTAACATTTCGTTGTGAATTGAGTGAAGGATAACAGACAAGATCATCAGCTTTACTTTTCATTTGACAATCTTACATTTTCTATGCCTACTCCTAGAAAACTGTGGGTTATGCATTGGACTGTTAACCTCAAGGTCGACAGTTTGTGCCACCAGCTGCAAGAGAAAGATGAAGCTTTCTGTCTCTGTAAAGGCTTACCGCCACAAAAACCCTATACGAGGTCGTTATGAGTTGGAACCAACTCAGCGGCTCACAGAAACAGCAATGACATGCCCCATGCCCCATTCCTATTTGGTAGGAGAAAAGTCTGATCGAAGAGATAAACTTGACAACAAGAACATTTCACAACAGCCAATCAATGCATGATTGCAAATCACTTGCTGTGCTGTTTTAGCCAGGGCTTTCGTTCCTTGATGCTGTATTTCCCTGATAGTTAGCACCTTCACTAGTTAGACTGTGTAGCTACTGTTGTTAAGTGCCATCCAGTCTGCTCTAACTCATAGTGATCCTATTTTGGGGGCGGGTGGGGGGCATAAAATTTGCCAGTAAAGGCTGTAAATCTTTGTGGGAGCAGATCACCTCATTATTCTCTCTCATAAAGCAGCTGGTGGACTTGAACTGCTGACGTTGTGGTTCACAGTCCAGTGCTTATCCTACAGAACCACCATGCTCTGTATCAGTTACTGCTGGGGAAAAAGAGATAGAATATTCTGTTGCTTTCCTATCACATGGGAAGAGAGGATCAAGCATTGCCCCATCAACCAGCTGTACCAGTTCACGAGATTGGGGGTGAGAGGAAGAGCAGCAAAATTCATCTTACCCTGCATAATAGTGCTACCAGCTTCACTGTGTTTTTTATACCATTTACTGAGTCCCTGGCATGTTCCAGGTTTTCATCTCTATTCTTTACAATGTCTTTCTTTAAAGAGTAGGAACTATCTGTGGTAAAAATCAAGACTCCATTTCTCTGATGCCAAATATATGTTAATAAATCCCAATAATTTATGATCCGTTCTGCTCCCCATTCTGTTGCCCTTCTGTTCTGACATGAGCTACACATGAAGCACTCCTTCCTGACCCTAACCACTCTGATCTGGGTCAGAGTTCACAGGTTAAAAAGGGTGCAGACCTACAGACTACCAAGTCTACCCAAGACCTGACGCCAGCTGCAAGCTTGGACTCCTCATGGCACCATAAACATGGGAGTCCTCCTCACTTCTGACCTACTGGTTACATATTTGGGGTTTTCCTCTACCACCTCAGGGTGTTGACTCTAAGCTCAGGGGTCCTCAGTGTCTTTCACTTCTGAGCTGCTGGCTCCCATTGTTTCCTTGGGTTTGGCAGTTCTCTAGGGCAACACAGAAGTCAGGAAAGCTGTACTAACCGTTACTGTCTCAGTTTGGCATAAAAAGAATACAAATACATAGGGCTAAGTCTTGAGGGTTCCCAACTCAGAATATTCGTGTCCTAAAGTCTGTGCTGTGTGCATCAATGCCTTTGGTCAAGCAGGAAGCCCATGGAACTTCCATGTCCAAAACTTTTACTGGGGGGGGGCCTCATTTTGTAGATATGATGTATTGAATCATTAAAATCTTGATCACAGGATGTTGGCACCTTATCTTTCTTAAAAGTGATGAAATGTTTTAATCATGTGACTCTGAGGTACCCCATATCACATGCTGAGTCTTTCTGTCTGTCCTTGCCAGCCCCCACCTGAGTCACCTAATTAACATAAAACTTCAGGTGTGGTCTGGAGCCTTCTTAAATAACAAAGACACTTTAATTATTGGGTAAATTCTAAGGCTGTTGAAGTTATTTCTAAAGGATCAAAGAGGAAGACCGAATTCTTTGGATAAAGTTAAGTTCTTTCACCCACAGACTGTTATATGAATTTACCACTGATAAAGTCTCTTCAGTATTCTAGTTTTGTTCTTACATTTTGGAATTCTCAAAAGGCCACACCAACACTGAAGCAAAGCAGGGATTTGAAGCCAGGTTGATGTGAATGCAAAATCCAAGCTCTCCCTGTTACCCCGTGCTTCCCACTGAGACATGCTAACATGCCTATGGTTGTTAATTGCTGTTGAGTCAATTCCGATTCATAGGGTGACCCTGTATAGGGTTTCTGTGGAGCAGCTGGTGGGTTTGAACTGCTGATCTTGTGGTTCTTAGTCCAGTGCTGATCCTACGCTACCACGCCAAATACAAATTACCACTTGTACCAAGTACAAGTTACAAATTACCACAAACCATGTGTCTAATACTAAATGACATTTAGCATCTCACACTTCTGAAGGGAGGCTAGAAATCCAGTTCTTTGTATCAGCAGGGCCATGATCTCTCTGAAGGCTCTAGGGGACCTACTCTTGCCTCTTTCAGCTTCTCTTTCAGCTTCTCAGAATTTATGGTAAAAATCACTCTAATGTCTGCCTCTTTCTTCTTGTCTTCCCTCTGAAACTCTCTGTCTCTTGTAGCTATTCATCTTTTTTTTTCTTTAATTTTTCTTGTGAATTGAATGAAGGTTTACAGAGTAGATCATCAGTTTTACATCCATCAGATCATATTCTTTGCTTCATTACAATGACTTCAATCCCCTCCATGTACTATCAGTTAACAGTATTTACCTCTATTCACTTTAACTATTGTTTCCCTCCCTGTGTTTTCTGCTACCTTTATCTTTTCTCTGCTAACCTCTGTCTTGCTGTTTATTGCCTGCCTTGTCACCCATGTTTATATATGTCTGCACTCTAGCCCATGAATAATTTTCCCTTTCTTCCTCCCCCGTGACCATCATAGATTGTTTATTTTATTAAGAAAACCTTTTCTTAACTGTTTACAAGTGATCAAATATAATATTTGTCCTTTTGTGGGTGAGTAATTTCACTCCAGGTTCATCAATGTTGTGAGGTGTTTCACAGATTCATCATTATTCTTCAGCGTTTTGTAGTATCCCATTGTGTGTGTGTACCAAAGTTGGTTTGACCATTCACCATTCTTCCATTCATGGGCATTTAGGCTGTCTCCATCTTTTTGATGTATCTCTTGTAGACAGTCTGTTGGAGGATGGGGGTCCTGTTTTCTTATCCATTCTGCTCTCTCAGTCTCTTGCTGGTGCATGTAATCCATTTATATTCAATGTAATTATTGATAGGTATGAACTGATTGCTGTTATTTTGCTGTGTTTTTGTGTGTATGTGATGCTGCTAGTTTCTTTGTTCCACATAGTTTTTTGCACTGAGTTAATTTTCTTTTCATTTTCATTTCTATTGTGTTAATTTACTAAATCTTTATGATTTTTTCTTTTTAAAAAAATTGATGTGCAGATATCTTAAATTTCTTTGACATTACCATGTCATTTATTAATATTTTCTTTATTTGGAACAGTCTGTTTTATGTTAAAATCTCCTTGACTCCCAAATGGTGAGGAAGTCTATTCATCTATTTTTTTAGAACCACTTGTCATATTGGATCAGGGCCTTTCCTACTCCAGTATGAACTCACATTAGCTTAACTAATCACACCTGCAAAGATGATTTTCAAATAATGTCACACTCAGAGATACCCGGCATTAGGACTTGAACTTACCATTTGGAGGGACACAATGCAACACCCATACCAGAGCTTTGTCCTTATTAACTTTAGGGCTAACAATTAATTCTTGAACAATGTATGTGTAATTAATTCTAGCTTTCAGTTCTGAAGTGGAGAAGTTGATCTTTTTTTGCACTTGTATTAGAAGGTGGTGACATTATTTTCTATCATGGACCTGCATTGCATCAAGTCATGAGGTTCCAAATAAATCTTTTGCCACAGAATCCTTATGGTAATTTTTTTCTCTCTGAACATATGGAAGAGGGAACAGAAAGCTGACCCCCCCTCCCCCCAGAGAGTTATAGTCTCCAGCTGGATTTTTGGAGCGCATCCTTGGCAAGAAAGGGTCCGTTGGACGTGGTGACTGATAGGAGACTATAGCAGATCATATGACTAGGTGCCTCTTGCCTTTGGGAAAGGAAAGAAGAAAATGAATGGAAATGGTTTGTGTATGTGTATTTTGTTGTTCTGAGAATATACACAGCAAACTGTATATACCCATTGGTATATACCAATTCGTCAGTTTCACCATGTAGGTTTCAGTGACACTGATTGCATTCCTCTAGGTATACAGTCATTCTCACCCTCCTTTTCTGAGTTGTTCCTCCTCCATTAACCTCTAAGGTTCCGATCTCATCTTTTGAGTTGCTGTTGTTAGTTTGATACCATGTATGTAAATAGTTATTGAAAGAGCTTCATGCTCAAGGCAGACCTTTTTAAAATTAGTTAATATTTTTTAGCTGGAACCACCATCTTGCAGTAATCCACAAAAACAACATACAGAAAGAGAAAGAGGCAAGGTGCCCGCTAGATGTTCTCCATGCCTTTTAGAAAACATGGGTCGTTCCTTTGGTCGTATATATGCAAATCTACAAGAAAGGCAGTATATTGTGGATATCAAGAGAATAGGGACAGTTCCAATCGGGGATGCCCCACACATGTTACCATGGCAACATTGA